CGAAGTGCGTGAAAACAACTCAAAAGCAGAAAAGGGTGAGGAGACAGAAAAGAGTGCAGAGCAAGGGGAGTCACAACCCACCTCGCAAGGTACATATGATAGTAGCTCTTCTCAGATGGTTCCAACTGTTCGTAGATCTGAACGGGTCCATATACCATCGAAAAGGTACACATCATCTGAATATCTTTTGTTAACTGAAGATGGAAAACCGGAGAGTTTTCAATAAGCTGTGTCTCATAAGGATAAAGAAAAATGGTTAATAGCAATGCAGGATGAGTTAGAATCTCTGCAAAAAAGAAAACTTATGAGATCGTAGAACTTCCTAAAGGGAAGAAGGCACTGAGAAACAAATGGGTGTTCAAGTTGAAGAAGGATGCAAGCGGACAAGTGGTGAAACACAAAGCTCGGTTGGTTGTCAAAGGATTCCAACAGAAGAAAGAAATCGACTTTGATGAGATCTTTGCACCAATTGTCAAGATGACCTCAATCCGAGTTATACTTGGCTTGGCAGCAACTATGAACTTGGAACTTGACGAGATGGATGTGAAGACACCATTTATTCACGGAGATTTGAAAGAAGAAATCTATATGCAACAGCCAGAAGGTTTTGAGAACTCAAATGATAACTTTGTGTGTAAGCTATCTAAAAGTTTGTATGGCTTGAAGCAGACACCAAGGCAGCGGAATAAGAAGTTCGAATCATGCATGAAGAGTCAAGGCTACAAGAAGACTACTGCAGATGAGTGTGTATACATCAAGAAACTTTTAGATGGTACCTTCATTGCTCTTCTACTGTATGTAGACGAAATGTTGATCGTTGGGAAAGATGCTGTGAAGATAAACCAACTGAAGAAAGAACTCTGTAAGTCTTTTGATATGAAAGACTTAGGACCAGCTCAACAGATTCTTGGGATGCAGATCCCTCGATACAGGAAGAATCGCAAGTTATGGCTATCTCAAGAGAAGTACATTGAACGAGTACTTGAGAGATTCAACATGAATGATGCCAAACCAATTAGTGTTCCACTTGCAAATCACTTCAAGTTGAGCAAAAGAACATGTCTCACATCCAAGGAAGAGATCAGGGAGATGTTAGCGGTTCCATATTCTTCAGCAGTTGGAAGTTTGATGTACGTCATGGTATGCACAAGGCCAAACATTGCACAGGCAGTGGGTACAGCGTGTCATTTTCTCTCTAACCCCGGGAAGGAGCATTGGGAGTCAGTCAAATGGATTTTCAGGTACTTAAAAGGTACTCCCTCCGTCCCTTAAAACTTTGCCATCTTTCCTTTTTGGGACGTCCCAAAAAACTTTGTCACTTTCCCTTTCAGAAAATTATTTTGTGCTTTCTGTTATTTCTCTCTCCTCTGCACAAATCTCAACCACACAGTTTTTACTTTATTATTCTCCGTGCTAGTCAACTTTGGCAAAGTTTTAAGGGACGGAGGTAGTATTACAGAGTTATGTCTTTGCTATGGAGGAGTTGACCCAGTCTTGGAAGGCTACACAGATGCTGATATGGCTGGAGATATTGATAGTAGAAAATCTACTTCAGGATATATCTACACTTTTGCAGGAGGTTGTTTCTTGGCAATCAAGATTGCAGAAGTGTGTCGCTTTATCTACAACAGAAGCAGAATACATCGCTGGCGCTGAAGCAGGTAAGGAAATGTTATGGCTAAAGCGCTTTCTCCAAGAATTTGGGATCCAGCAGAAAGAGTACAAGGTACATTGTGACAGTCAAAGTGCTCTAGACTTGAGCAAGAACCCTATGTACCATTCTCGTACAAAGCATATTGATGTTCGATATCACTGGATACGAGAGACGATTGATCAACAACTGTTGAGACTAGTGAAGATCAATACAAAGGAGAATCCATCAGATATGCTGACAAAGGTGGTGACACGAGATAAACTAGAGTTATGCAGAGACATAGTCGAGATGCTTGTTTTGCATATGTCTGGAAGGGGAGAATTGAAGAATTCAATTTCCAGGACATATCCAAGTACAAACAAATTGAAGAATTCAATTCCTAGCTTCCATGATGTTTCCTCCATATCCAAGAATGACAAGGGAAACTTACTCAATCACCATTGAAGCTTCCTCATGTTTAATCCTACTTTCCTTCCACCTTCCTAGTACCTAGTTTTGGTACTATAGATCATCAAGTAAATTAGATCATAGATCATCATAGCACAACCAAGTTTGAGTTGTGAATATCCTTGAGAGATATGTGAGGTGTTTTTGAGAGTTTTTTGGTTAGAGCTTGTATGTCTCTTCCTTCTATTCTTGAAAGTAATAGAAGTATTTTTCTCTCATATTAGCACGATCCTGTTATTCCCAAAAATAAGGTCATTTGCTTGTATCTAATTTAAAAGAGGTTTTTATAAATTTACACATAAAATTAATGCATGTACTACGTCGCTAAACAAATCTATGAAACTGAAATCTTGAATAACTATGAACTGTCATGGTTTTGTTTTGGGAAATATAAAATTTTATTAAGGAAATAGTAACAAAAAATACATAAGGAGGGAAACATAAAACAAAATTAAAAAAAGGGAGTACACAAAAGAAACAAACAAAGAAGACCATCCCATAGTACCATAATAAATCCCTTCCTATAGTCTTTAAGAGCCCAATCAAGTCTTCCGAGATCCATACGTGATTGGAACCAATTCCTACTCTCTTGTTGGAGCAATTGGAAGAAATGTGTCTTTCCAAACCTCTAAATGGTAGATTAATCTCGATGTTGCAAGAAATAGAGATAATCGGGATAGTTGCAGAGGTGGATTACCCATGTTACAACGACCCCGAGGTAAAACAATCAACATCATGTTTTTCTGTTTTTTATGGCATCACCATGATACACTAAAACTAAAAATCATTAACATGACCTATAAGACAATATAGTAGTTTGAGTTAATCAACAATATAAAAAGGGTTAAATGACTAAAATATGATCAAATACAATCGGGGAAAAGGGCAAATAAGCCCGCGAACTAACCGAAAAAGTACAAATCACCCCTTTTATAGGAGGCTCTGTCCGGCCGTCTCCATTTGGGGCGGTTACCGGTGGCATTTTTTGATGAATATGTTTTTGAGAATATTCTTCATTAAGTCTAGTTTACCCATACCAAATTTCAGTTAAACATGCAATCGGTAAGGCAGTCAAATAAATGTTTGAAGATAACTGCGCAGTTAAACAACACAGTATATTTCAGAAAATCATTTGACTGTCTTCCCGGTTGAATTTTTAGCTTTGGAATGGGTAAACTAGATTTAATGAAGAAGACGCTCAAAAAAATTCATCAAAAAATTCTACCGGGAACCTCCCCAAATGGTGACGGCTGGACAGAGCCTTCTAGAAAAAGGATGATTTGGACTTTTTCGGTTAGTTCGAGGGCTTATTTGCACCTTTTCCCAATACAATCCTAATGAGACCAACTTAATAACCAAAACAAGTTCACGTCTTGCAAAAAAAGAGTGAATATAATGCATATATGATATAAAAACAATCATAAAAATAAAATTGAAGTGCTCCACACATTGTCACTAGCTAGTAAAACAAAAAAGATAAACCATACATAAAACTAAAACTCCAAATCATACTCTCAAAAGCCTAAACGATATAAAACTAACATAAAACTATAAAACATAGAAGCACAAACCCTTAGGTGATTGTTGGGTGGTCGTGGGTTGGGTGTTGGGTGGTCGTTCAGTGGGTGTTAGGAGGTTGTCGGGTGGGTGATGGTTGCCTAAGCAAGAAAGCAACGAGGTTGGGATTGGACACAAGACGACAAATCAGCAAAGAACGAAGACCTGGCCAAAGCTGACCTCGACCCTTCAAGGTTGTCACCAACATCGAGCTCGCAGATCACCCAGATAAGGCAAGATACGAGGCCAACCTCGAGCACACCGAGGTCGGTACCGGACTTGACCTCGGGCACAACCCGAAGTCAACGAGAGTCAAACAAGAACGAAGAAATGACCACCACTGGATAAACCAAAGACCAGGAAAGCTTCCCCAGAAAAATCCACTATACCCAAGCTCCGACCTCTTGGAGCTCGAGGTCCCATGTGCTAAACATGGACTTAGACATTTCGGCAGTTCAAGTACCGCGCAAAGCTACCACCACGTCACCAACACTATACATAGCGCCACATCACTCAAGCAGACAAGATAAATAACATTCCGATTAATACACGTGTGGCACACACGTGTATTCTGGTATAAATCTGTTATGCACAGTTCCAATCAGCCAGCTATCACAGTTATCTCTCCAGTCACTTTTACACATGTCACCCTCCCATTAGACTAGTCTGTTTGTTCTGTTAGACATGTGGGACACGCGTCTCCACCACAATAGAGTAACATCTTTTTTACTTGTTGGCCATGTATTTTTCCTTAGTATAAATATCACCTTCTAATCTGTGGAAAGGGATCCGAAATTCTCTGTGCCTGCTGAAATTCATACTCGATCTCATTGATACTTTATCGTCGTTCTCATGTTTCCCGGATTCTGACTACCCCAGGGTCGACGATCCATGGACACTACTTTTAGAGTTTTACATAGCCCAAGTCCATGTTTATTTTTAGGATTTAATCCATGTATTTATCTATAAATATTTATGGTGAGCTTACACATAAGTACACTTGATCAAATTTGTAATAGGTGTATAATTAATACATTCATCCCAACAAATTCCGTCATTTTCAAAACTTTGAACAACTGTATCTTTTTATTAGAAATTATTTATAATATAAAAATTATATGAAAATGTTCTTTGATAAAAGTATTATAATAAAGTATAAAATTTATAACTTTCATAATTTTATACTAATCAAAATCATGATTCAATTTTTATGAAATTACAAAGTTTCTTGGACAAGGTAGTATAATTTTTAAACTATAATTTTTGTTTTTAATTTTTCCAATATACGGAGCAACTGTATACATTCTAAAAGGCATCAAAATGGTAAGAGCGATTTGTACAGGGACAGCGATTGCACCTGAGCTCCAGCCACCAGGAAATGGCGAGCATCCTACAACGGTTAGCGACTCAACCATGTCAGACCTATCGGTTCAATCTGACTTCACTTTCGAGGGCCTTCTCTGCATCCTCGGACTCACTTGTGGAGATCCAGCGTGGAGAGGTCGGGATGGTTTCTGGTATACCCCAAGAACACCTTCGTAGGAGGGTATGTAAACCCAATATCTTTTTCTTGTTATACTTCTTGTTTGAATTTGATCTTAATCGAATGTCTAGCCGGGTAGATTTTGGTGTTGCTTGAATTTATGTTTTCAATGGTTTCATCCCAGGGCTTTAATGGGACATATTGGGTACAGCCGTTTGCTTTTTTCTTCTATACTAGCTTAGAGCTTCCCTTATCGGATTATTAACGACTCGTATTTCATCCAAGTACAATTTAAGTATTTATTAGTCCACAGGATGTGGATTTTACGGAACCTGTTACCTGTACAATTACTCAAAAGTTAACATGATTTCCTGGCTTGACATAAAATATATTGTTCATGATGCGGGGAAATGAAAATTATGAAGTTGTCCACTTAATAACGTTTAATTGCTAGATGTGCTGACATCCATGCTGCCAGTTGTTGCTTTCCCCCACAAAAGAGTATAAACAAATAAAAAACCAGCTTTGTTCAAAACAAAAAATTCATTGTTTGTTTGCTTGTATTTGAGTCCTCATTTGCTGTTATTTCATAAACTGTATTTACTAGGTAGTTATTTTCTCACCTGCTCGGACTGCTACTCAACAAGGATCAGGAAAAGTTGGAAGATGGAAAATCAACTTTTTATCTACTCAAAAGTATGATTCATTTTTTAATACTAAATCCCACTACTCTGCATTTTGAATGCTGGAAACTTAAGTACAAACAGTTTATATTGCTAAGATGCACGCTTAAAGATCACATTTTTCTTTGTTTTTACACTATCATAAATGCAGATGGGAAAATCCATTGATGGGCTGGACTTCCACTGGGGACCCATATGCCAATGTTGGTGATGCTGCATTGAACTTCGATAGTGAAGAAGCTGCAAAAGCTTTTGCTGCAAGACATGGATGGGATTACACGGTATTGACTATCTGTTAATATTCCTCTATTCTCTATTTTGTTGTGTTTCAATGCTTTTTAGGTAAATCCAATGCCGATACTTGAATGAGCTAGGGTAAAAATCAATTTGATCTTACCATGAAGGATTTATAAAATGAAGACTATCTTCACAAGGTTTCAGTTAGGATTACATATTTGCCAATGATATTTTGTTTGGGTGGTTGTCTCTTGCAAACACCTATTTCTACTGATATAAAGGTGGCATACTGATAGAGACACTGGGAGACAGCCTATTAATAATCATAAGGATATTACTTATTATAGCAAAGTATACTCTAGGAGGGGGAAGGGGAATATTAAATAGCTGCTGATGTGTAAAAAATGTACCAGGTGGAATAGTATAAATCAGAAGCTATAGTTGTAATGGGGGGCAGGCTGGTATTATTTTGTTGGATTGGGACAGGAGAGTTGGCATTCTTTAACTGTCTGAGACTTTCTCTTTCTTTTCTGTTAATCGTTTGGCTATTGAGACAGTTCATTCTTTCCTCCATCTTTCATTTCTTGAATTCACTGTGAATTAGATAGTTACCTATCACATACATATAAATTGATGCATAAAATTAAGTTTTTAGGGTACATAGATCTTCAAAAGGTATACAGATACATTTAGCTCTTCTTTTGTGAGTAATATATATAGGGAAGAAAGTCTAGGAATATTTTCAAATGATTGTACTCGACATATTAGTTTCATTGGAAAGTGAAAGGCGTAAAAACAAGAAAATTCTTAAAGAGGTTGTATTCCAAGTAAATAATCTGAAGTTTTCTGAATTTTATTATTGATAGAACTCATTTACAAGAAGTACATAAGCTACTTATACAGATAGGAATCCTGAGAGAGTCTATTCAGCACCCTAGGTGACTGCCTAAATACTAAACATAAATGATTGAGAACTGAAAAGACATCAGCTATTAAATACAACCTGAAGCACTAAAGACACATAATTACAGTAATAATACGGAAAATAAATCCTAGATTAATGATGTCTCTTCGTTTTATCAACACTCCCCCTCAAGCTAGGTTTGTAGATATCCGTTATGCCTAGCTTGACAATAAGACCCTGGAACCGAGGACTGTGCAGAGGTTTGGTAAACACATCTGCAACTTGATCTTCTGAGGGAGTGTAGCTTAGTTCGATCAGACCTCCTTCAACCTTTTCTTTGATAAAGTGCCTATCAATCTCAATATGATTGGTCCGATCATGTTGGACTGAATTATGAGCTATGTTGATTGCTGATTTGTTATCACACCTCTATTCCATTGGTTCTTTCCACTTGATTCGTAAATCTAAGAGAATAATTCTGATCCATAGAAGTTCACATAAACCATGGGCAAGAGCTCTTAGCTCAGATTCAGCAGATGATCGTGCCACAACATTCTGTTTTTTGCTTCTCCATGTCATGAGGTTTCCTGCTAGGAAAACACAGAGACCAGTAGTTGACCGGCGGTCAACGAGGGAGCCACCATAATCTACATTAGTGAAAGCTTGGACTGATAATTGCCCACCCTTCCTGAATATTATCCCTTGCCCTTGACTTCCTTTTAGGTAGTGAAGAACCCTATAGGCTGCTTCTAGATGTGGTTTCCTTGGATCATGCATGAACTGACTTAAAACACTAACTGCATAGGCAATGTCAAGTCTAGTATGAGAGAGATAGATAAGTTTGCCACACAAGCGCTGATACATTGATGAATCAACCTTGGGTTCATCAGTAGCAAGTCCAAGCTTAAGATTAGGATCCATAGGTGCATTAACTGGTCGACAAACACTCTTACCAGTCTCATTTAACAAATCTGTAATGTACTTTTGTTGGCTGATAAAGATGCCTTCAGATGAGCGAGCAACTTCAATTCCAAGAAAGTATTTTAGAGGGCCAAGAGACTTCATCTCGAAATTGGATTTCAGCTGCCTCTCAAGACGTTGTTTCTCAACTGGATCATTACCCGTCACAATGATGTCATCCACATATACTAAAAGAATAGTGACTCCATTTGGGCGAGAGTGTTTGTAAAAAAGAGTATGATCCCCTTGGCTTTGACTATACCCAGCAGCAAGAACAACCTGTGTGAAGCAGTCAAACCAAGCACAAGGGGATTGCTTGAGACCATAAAGGGCTTTTTTTAAATGACATACATGTGTAGAGGTACTTGTTGATGTTCTATTAAAGCCTGGGGGAATGTACATGTAGATCTCATCATGCAAGTCACCGTGGAGAAAAGCATTCTTGACATCAAATTGCAATAAAGGCCAATCAAAGTGAGATGCCAAGGATAGTAGGATACTGACAGTATTGAGCTTAGCTACAGAAGCAAAGGTCTCTTGATAGTCAATCCCATACGTCTGAGTGTATCCTTTAGCCACAAGACGAGCTTTGTACCGCTCAAGAGATCCATCAGCCTTGTATTTGACAGTAAAGATCCACCTGCAACCAACAACATGCCTCCCAGGAGGTTTAGTCACAATATCCCAAGTATTGTTCTTTTCAAGAGCTCTAATTTCCTCTTGCATAGCATCCCTCCATTCTTTCTTTCCTAATGCCTCAGAAACAGAGTTGGGTATGGGAATTTCATTAAGTCTCTGAACAAACAAGGCATGTGAAGGAGAGAAGTTATCAATGGTAACAAAATTAGCAAGAGGGTATAGTGGTGTTTTGGTACATTGACGTACACCCTTGCGTAAAGCAATTGGCAGAGATGGTGGTGGAGAAGAAGAGACATTACCTGAGTCAGCCAATTGGTCATGCGTCAACAATGGAGTGAACCTGTTTTTCCTTGAGTACACTTTTGTCACTGGTAGAGGAGAAGATGGGTCATGAGTGGTGGATTTAGTAGGTGTAGGAATGGGATGGTCTGGTGGTGGATTTGATTGAGGTTCAGGTGATGTTGAAGATTGTTGGGAAGTAGGTGAGGTTGCTGACACATCTAAGGAAGGTGATGGATGATCATGTAGTGGTGGTGGTGGTGATGGGATGTCTGGTGATAAAGGCTTAGGAAGGTAGGAGATTGTATGTGGTGGAGAAGATGTAATAGTATAGGTGGGCAGAGGTGAAGGATGTGGAGTATCTTGGGATACAGAGAGAGAAGTAGGAGTGTAAAAAGGTGTGTCTTCGTGAAAGGTCACATCTGCACTGGTGTATGTCTTTCTGGTTGTAGGATTATAGCACTTCTATCCTTTCTTAGTTGGAGAATAACCAAGAAAGATACACTTAATAGATCGTGTGTCCAATTTTCCCCTATGAGGTGGAGGAATATGAACAAATGCAGTACACCCAAACACCCTTAGATCAAGATCAGAAGAAATTCTGGTTTGAGGAAAGAAGTGACGGAGAGATTCAAGGGGTGACTTATTTTGGAGTACCCGATTGGGAATTTTATTGATGAGATGACATGCTGTGAGTGTGGCTTCCCCCCAATAATGTTTAGGCATATTTGATTGAAACAATAAAGCTCGGCTGACTTCTAGGAGATGTCGATTTTTTCTTTCTGCTGTGCCATTCTGTTGTGGTGTGTACGGACAAGAGGACTCATGAACAATGCCTTTTGAGAGGAAATAAGAGGAAACTGATTGATTGAAGTATTCAAGAGCATTATCAGTGCGGAAGCGTTTTATTGTGGCGGAGAACTGATTATGAATCATATTGCAAAAGATAGGAATGATGGAACTCACCTCACTCTTGTTTTTTAGCAGAAAACCCCACATAAAACGTGTACAATCATCAATAAATGTAACATACCACCGGGCACCAGATATATTAGCAATTGGAGCAAGACCCCACACATCGCTATGTATAATATCAAAAGGAGAACAACTGATTGTATTACTTCTAGAAAAAGATACACGAGACTGTTTAGCAAGTTCACAGACATCACATTGAAATGTAGAAACATCAATACTACTAAAAAGACTAGGAAGCATGGTTTTTAGGACATGAAAAGAGGGATGACCAAGGCACTTCTGGTGAAGCCAAATAGTGTTGGTATTGGCTGTGATTGTGGTAAGAGCTTTTTGTGGAGGTTTGGAGACAAACAGTGCATCAATGTAGTACAGGCCATCTCTTTGTTTAGCAATTCCAATCGTCCTCCCTGTGTGTAGATCCTGTAATAAACAGTGGGAAGGGAAAAAATGGCAGCACAATTAAGATCAACTGTGAGTTTGTAAATAGAAACAAGGTTCATAGCCAGGTTTGGGACATGTAGGGTGTTTTTCAGATTTAATTTTTCAGAAAAAACAACCGTACCAAGTCCCGCAACCTTTGTAGGTGTCCCATCAGCAGTAGTAATGTGTGTGGATGTAAAACATGGATGATAATTAGAGTGTAAAGAGGGTATGGCAGTCATATGAGATGTGGCACCTGAGTCTAATATCCATTGGGATTGTGAACACTGTTCCGAAGCATTAAGACAAAAAATAGTAGAGGTTTTACCTTGCAAGGCCAAAGAGCTATGACCAGAACCATTTGAGTTATTAAGAGATTGTAACATCATACGAAGTTGCTGTAATTCCTCCTGGGAAATGGGCGAAAGATTAGTAGAGCTCTCAACAATAGTGGGAGCGACTGAGTTGGCACGTCCAGCACTAGTTCCACGTCTGTCCTGGCTTTTTCTTTCTTTCTGTAGATGAGGATAAAGTTTCCAGCATGTATCCACATTATGGTTGGACCGCTTGCAATGATCACACCATCTTCCTCCCTTACTACCCTTAGTTTCCTTAACATCTGAAGGAGTAGATTTGGCAGCAAGAGCTGTACTGTCAATCAGATTTGTATTCATCATTATATTGCGTCTACTCTCTTCATGTTTGATAGTGGCAATGGCAGAAGATATGGAAGGCAGAGGAGTAATGCCAAGAATTTGACCCCGAGTCTGATCATATTCGGGATTTAAACTAGACAAGAAGCAATATAGACGTTGCTGATTTATATAGTTCTTGTGAAGAGCTGCATCTGCAGCATTCGACCACTTCATCGTTTGATACTGGTCAAGTTCAGACCATCGTCGTTGGAGGTCAGTTGCATAATCTGTGACAGATTGTGAATCTTGCTTAAGATTCGTTGTTTTGAGCCATAAGTCATAGACAAAAGCGCCATCTTTAGCAACAGAGTAGGACTGCTGTATGAAATCCCAGATTTCTTTAGCCGAGTTCATGTATAAACATGTACTGCTAATGTTGGGATCCATAGAGTCCCATAATCAGACCCGTATGTTGGCATTAGTTTTCTCCCAAATAGCAACATCAATCTCTCCTTCTTCTGGGGTAGAGACAGTGAGATAGTCTTCAAGATCTTTGCCACGTAGGAGTGTGTAAACCAGCTTTGACCACCCAAGATAGTTCTTGCCATTGAGACGGTAAGATGGCGGGATAGAAGGGAGATCAAATTTCTGGTTTCGAAGAGCAAACGCGGCTGCAGTAGCAGTTGAAACAATGGTTGAGTGATCAAGGTTACTTGAGGCTGATTCGGCTTCTTTAGACATGATAAAACCCTTGATGAAGAGACTCCACCGGGAGTTAAAGAGAGAGAAGGGTAGAGACACCCAAAAAATGACCGTTGGAGAGGCGATAGACTCAAAAAAGGCTTAGACGAAACCTAGCTCTGATACCATGAAGTTTTCTGAATTTTATTATTGATAGAACTCATTTACAAGAAGTACATAAGCTATTTATACAGATAGGAATCCTGAGAGAGTCTATTCAGCACCCTAGGTGACTGCCTAAATACTAAACGTAAATGATTGAGAACTGAAAAGACAGCAGCTATTAAATACAACCTGAAGCACTAAAGACACATAATTACAGTAATAGTAAGGAAAATAAATCCTAGATTAATGATGTCTCTTCGTTTTATCAACATAATCGTTTGTAATTTGCCTCATTTTTATCGATAAATACGATGAGAATGATTTAATTAGTTAAAATTCACTACACGTGTGATTTGCTTTAAGCGAACAAACACGTGCAAACATTCGAGAGCTAGTATCCACCACCAAACGGAAGTTAAGTAAAACCTGCATGTTCAGAGGCCAGTTTTAGTCTTCTGCACATTTGTATAATCTTGTGTTTATTTTTTGTTTTTGTTTTTTAAACACACTGATGTGCACATGTATTCCTATGTGTGATACAAATACAATGCACATCATGGTGCTTGGCAAATAATTGAAACTAAAGGCTATAAAGTGTAAGGTCAAGGAATTGACACTTCATTTAGTTCATTGATGTTTGTTTAAATGTGAAACATGTATCAATCCATGCTGATTATGTTTTAGCTTTTATCTACCGTCTATTTTGTCAAGCTATCTTCATGTAAGTTTGATTCTTGCACCTTTAATGATTTCCTATAATAACACTTATTACTTTGCAGGTCAAGACACGTCATACACCACTGTTAAAGGTTAGACAGTTTTTCACTCGCCTTGAGATTTATAAATATTTCTTTGCTTAGCGGGTCAGTTTATTCATGTAGGTTAAATCATATGCGGACAATTTCAAGTGGAAAGGCCCTCCCAAGACAGAGGGATAAATTAGTTTCTTCCATCTTTCTAAAACCAGAGTGGTTGATAGACGCGCTGCTTAACTCTCTTGCAATCATGTTGCTTGACTTGTGGAGTTTTGTGTTTTATGTTCGCAAAAAACTGTGTCAGCCTGTATTTCTTGGAAATTTGGAATTATTAATAAATCTTACATACCAAACCTTCGTATTTGTATGTGTTACTTTATGAATCAATCTATTGGAATTATCTCTTCACTGCAAATTAGAAAATGTATGGTAGTCATAAGCTCATAATCAACTTATGTTATGCTTATTAGCAGAATAAGTATTGTTCGGTAATTAAGCAAGTAATTTGATTGTAGTTGTGATTATTTGATAGGAAAAGCGTATGATGATATTGATTTCAACCAAAACATAATCTGATTGAGAATGCATCAATTAATTAAAAAGACGTGTGTCAGATTATACGGTAATAGACCAACCCCTCTATCACTATCATGTTAAGAAATGTCCTTTAACTCACATAAATCATGATGCATACTTATATGTTGCTGTGTGTATGCATATTTATACGTTGTTGCGTGTATGTATGTAAGTCCGTAACTATATGTAGCTACATGTGTATATACTACCTCCGTCCCGGAATTATCTCCTTATTTGACTGGGCACAGATTTTAAGATAGTGGGAAATGTGTGATGGAGAGTTGTGCAGAGGAAAGAGAAATGTGTAAGAATGATTGTGAACCACAAATTCTTTGCCAAAAAAGGAAAGAGAAGATAAATTTGGGATGGACCGAAAAGGAAAGAATGAAGATAATTACGGGACGGAGGGAGTATATGATATGTTGTTGCGTGTGTACATATGTATTTATAAGCTGCTGTGTGTGTATTTATATGTTGCTGTGTGTCTACAGATGTTACCACTGCAAGTATAGGCATATATATGCTAATTGCTGCGTGTATATGTATAAATTCAGAGTTTGGAGAGTTTAATTTGCTGCAAACAGAATAGGCATATGCAAGTGTAAGCTGCTGGAAAATGTATTCGTTGATAGCTTAAATATACACTTTTTTTTTAGTTAATAGATGCTGAAAAATGTCTTCTTTGGTAGCCTAAAACTATTTTTCTTGTTGAGTTATTAGTTGTTGAGAAGTGTCTTGTTTTATAGCCTAAAACTATATTTTTCCCTTTTTGGTGGAGTTATTAGCTGCTGAAAGATCTTAGTGACTGAAATTCTGAAAATAGGGTTGGACTCGGCCCGGGTGGCCCGACCCGGGACCGGTACTGTTCCGGCCCGGCCCGAACCGGTGGCCCGGTCAGTGACCGGTCCGGGTAGGCCTGACCCGGTGGGTTTTTGGTCCGGGCTCGGGTCACCCATAACAAGGCCCGGCCCGGCCGGGCCTGAGCCCGGTTCGGGCCAAATTTATTTATTTTTTTTGGTTTTTTTCATTTGTTTGGGCTCCACCGGGTTGGGCTTGATGTTTAGGAGGGGTTTGGGGGTTTGGGGGGTGGGGGTGAGGGGGGGGGGTCAGGGATGGGTAGCTAAGCAAAAAAAAAAACCAAACCCGAGGCCTGGCCGGCCCGGACCGGACCCGGTGGCTACCCGGGCCGGTCCTGGGTCCAGCTATATAGAACCGCCGGCCCGACCGGGCCTAGGCCCGACCCGAGTCCAACCATAACTGAAAAGATCTTAAAAAGAAAAGACAGTAGTTGTTTGGTAAAAAGCTGACTGTTTGATTTAGCTCGTTTGGTATACAAACTGTTAGGACTAATTAATGCTAGAAGCTACGGACTTATCTGAGATGCTACTCACTGTAGCATCTCGAAAAAGATCTTTTATTTTTATAAAAACTCTTAAAAATTGGCGTGTCAAACATACAACTAGAAGCTTTTAAAGATTTTTTAAATAATACAAAAGCTAGAAAACAGGAACTTATACCTGCCAAACATAGCTTTAGACAGCCTAAAACTATGGGTTTGGTTGAGTAATCAGTTGTTGAAAACATGCATTTTGAAAAAGTTATAACAATTGCAAAAAATATGACCATCCATGTGTAGGGGTGGACCTAGGCCAGGCCTAGGCCCGATCGGGATTTTTTTGGGAAAGGGTGAATCGGAACCGGCCCGGGTATAAACCGGGTCCGGGCCGGTCCGGGTTGGGCCTGATTCTATGTTTTTTTGCTTTCTAATTAACCTCCGACCCCCCCAAACACCCAGCCCTAACCAAGAAAAACAAAAAAAATGACAAAAAAACGCCCCGGGTCAGTTCAAGAAAAACGTGGCTCGAGCCAGGCCCCAACCGGGTAAAAGCCTAGGCTCGGTTAGCACCATCCGGGTCCGCACAGTAGCGGGCCGGGCCGGTTTCGGGCCGGGCCGAACCGGTTGGGTCCATCCCTATCCATGTGACACACGAGTGGGATTGGTGAACAATATCGTTTTCCTTGAAGACTCACTTAAACTAACCTACCGTAAAATATTCTTGTCTACACTTGAGATTGATACTTTTCTTCTCTTTTTGATAGACTAGATGGACACATTTGAGCTTGTTTACCGTTTAAAAAGTTTTTAAATTTCTTAGCGGTTTGTTTAGCACAACAACTTTTAATAGCAGCTTTAAGTTTTTATGAGAAGCTACTTTGATTCTGAACAGTTTCTGACAAGTATTTGTCTTTTAATATTAATTAGTTGCAATACTTGTCATAATAGTAAATATTCAGTTTCTATCAAATAACTATAGCATTTTCCTATTGAGAATTTTGAGTCACTTAGGGGTGGACCGGTTCCGGTTCGGGCCCGGTCAGGCCTCGGTTCATGAAAGGGGAGGCCCGGAACCGGCCCGGGTAACCCCGGGTTCGGGCCGGGTTAGGCCTCGGTTCATGTTTTTTTTTTGGCTTTTCCTAATTAACCCCCAACCCTCCCCCTCACCCCCAAACCACCTCAAATGGCCCATCATACCCAGCCCAACCCAAAAAACTTAAAAAAATTCAAAAAATAGAAATAAATAAATAAATTGGCCCGAACCGGCCGGGCCGGTTCACTATTTAGCAGGCCCGGGCCTGAACCGCCTACCTCACCGGGCCGGGTGGCCCGAATCGGGCACCAACCGGTTCACTGGGCCGGTCCAAGCCCGCACAGTAGCGGGCCAGTCCGGTTCCGGACCGGGTGGCCCGAACCGGGCACTTACCGGTTCACCGGGCCGGTCCGGGCCCGCACAGTAGCAGACCGGTCCGGTTCCGGGCCGGTTGGCCCGGCTCGAGTCCACTCCTAGAGTCACTCAAAGCTAACAAATATAAAAAAAATAAAAATGTATTCTTTTAGCTAGTTGTGACCTAATCCAGAAAAGGTGTTTTGATACTTTTTTTGAAAATCAAATAACTAATTTATTCATATCAAATGATAACAAATAAACAAGTAAATGAATAGTCTACGGCTACAATGGGATGTGACTTTGAACGAAAAAAATTCCATGAATCCATGAAGATCGCTGACCATGCAATAATGTAGTCTAGTCTAACGACCTTGTTGCACTTGCTACTCCAAATAAAAAATACAAAAAATACAAGTAAAAGTTTCAGCTTCATCAGCCATCGGAAAGGGATAATTGATTTGACCAACAATCAACAAAGGAAATCCTACTGAGTCAAAACTATCTGAATCATCGATTTGACCAGCTACAAAAAATGAGATGCAGTTGAGAGCTTTATTTTTCTTGAAGTGAGGCGGTGGTTCAGGTGGAGGGCGAATAATTGAACCATCAGAACAACAAGGTTGAAAAAGTTTTTCCAACCATGAATAACGAAAACTCACCGGATTGATTACATCGATGAGAAACTCACAACCTGTAGACATCGCTAGGAGAAAAACATATCACACGCTCACATGAAGAGGATAAAACTTTCGACCAAAAAAGACGTCGGACCAAAACCCTTGATATTTCAATGCCTAAAAACATCACCATCTCTCAAAACTCTTGCCGATTGAAAAAGGAAAGACTTGAAAACCAGATCTCACGTAATGTAACGGAATAAAGTCTCTATTCAATTATTATGTTTGATTAAACTTTGAAATGTAATGGTGGTAGAAGAGTAGGACATGTATGGAAATTGTTGGGTGATGTGGGCACTGCCATTGGATGATGAGGCCATATGGTTGAATCTTCCATCATGATCGTTAGTACATTTTCAGGACATGTAATAAGTTGTAATTTTTAATACGCACTTTTTTTAATGTAAATCTTATTACACTTTTTTTTATGTCAATTACATTATGATTTAAAATAAAACGACATAACAAGCATCGTAATATTCATTTCATAATTGATTACGTCATACCAATTACCAAACATATTCTTATTGAATTTCACTTTTTTAGAAATATTTGTAGTTCTCCCTAATCTTTTTTGCTTGTACGTCGTATAATAGTGGGCTAAAGTGTCAAATATGTACATGAACTAACTTAAAGTGTTCAATTAGTCCCTTATTTAGAAGGTTCTGTCCGGCCGTCGTCAATTGGCACGGTTTCCGATGGAATTTTTTGATGAAATTTTTTGAGCATCTTCTTCATTAAGTCTAGTTTACCCATATTAAATTTCAGCTAAAAATTAAATCCGGAAGGCAGTCAAATGAGTTTTCGAAATGTACTGCGCTGTTTAACTGCGCAGTTATTTTCAAAAAATTATTTGACTGCTTTCCCGGTTGAATTTTTAGGTGAAATTTGATTTGAGTAAACTAGACTTAATGAAGAAAATGTTCAAAAAATTTCATCAAAAAAGTCACCGGGAACCGTCCCAATTGGCGAAGGCCGAGCAGAATCTCCCATATAAGGAACTAATTGAACACCTTAAGTTCGTTTGTGTACCTATTTGACCCTTGTCCTGTGCTTAGTCCTAACCTCCTTATTAGTACCGTATCCTTTTCCAGCAGGAAGACAGGGACACGCGCTAGATTTCTGAATTTATATAGGGCTGCTTACTGTGGAGGTGCATTTCTTCTATCAATCCATTTTGCTTGAATTTCTTGTGCACCGATTTCGATTTTTTAACGAATTTGTATTCCTCAAACTTTGCATGATCGGCTATCTGAATTATTTTTTTTTGTGAATTTCATTGCAAACATTTCTCTTTAGTTGTCTCACCTGGATTTCGTTGTTTTGGGATGAATTATGGCAGTTCGGAATAGGATGGAGAAGGAGAAAAGGAATCGTTCGGTTATAAGGGCCGATTGTGGGTCAAATGAGGATAAAAACGGGTGCGGTACGAAGGAAAGGAAAGGGAAGAGGTTGTGGCAGAAGGTGAAGTACCAGTTGGTAGAATATCATTCATTGCCTGGGTATTTGAAGGATAACGAGTTTATTATTGGTCATTATCGATCTGAATGGCCTTTGAAGCAAGCCTTGCTCAGCGTGTTCACCATTCACAATGAGACCCTCAATGTTTGGACGTAAGGTTTTGAATCCCTCTTTGTGTTCTCAGCTTTTAATTATATATTTAAACTCATGTCGCATTAGTTTCGTGGTTTCCCTAGAATTCTTGAAAGACTTTAGTCTTTAGAGGTATTATTATTCATTACAGACTTACAGTAATCATTTATGATATTGAATTATCATACAAGTCTTCAGAATCGAAGTATATTCTCTTGATAGTTGACTTTCAAGACACCCTCACTTCACACCTCCTGAACAATCAGTCTGTTGTTTTGTTTTTTTAATGTCAAGTATTATTCATTACTAATGCGATGGAAGATTTTTTTGGGAAGATTCTTATTAATCATCCGCAATCAAATTAGAGTTGTAAGCATACAAAATAAAAGGAGGAAATTTTCTTGAAAACATAATAACCAGACTTAGAAACTGTTACCCTTGCCAAGTGTGGGCAATCCGCAGATCTCCTGGGATGAAAAAGAACAATACTATTATACTAGTAAAAATAGACATACTTTTTCGAATATTAAACAATTACACCACAAAAAGAGTGTCTTCATCCAAAGTTTATTGTAGTTACCACCTGCAAAGCATCAAAATCCATATCAATTATGTCCCATCCAATTTCCTTAATTCAGCTCAACACCTTGTATGCACACAAAGCCTCAGTCTCCTGCATAAGACACAAGGCTCTCCAAGGTTTAGCACCACTCACCGCAAAATACCTGGTGCTGTCCTTAAATACCCAAATTAACGTGCAAACTCTGTGATAGGATTGAAGATATGGATAAGAAATAAGTAACTATGTTTCAGACATGGTTTCCTAGGGTTTATTTGGGCTGAAGGTTTTGGAGGGGAAGCTTTGCAGGGCTTAGTTTATATTCTGATAATTAGAAAGTTTCTAAAAGTGAACTTTAGTGATAGAAATGGTATATGACCACATATCTTGCTTTTTTTCGGGGAACAAACTTAACGGTCACATGCCCATATATTATGTTAATCTTCCGGTTTTTATAAAATCACAAATGTATGCCAAGATATAGACTAACCCCTCTAAAGCATCCTCTGCAAAGCCCTCCACATTGCATATCCTTACAAATTCTAATCTGTATAACAGTTTGGAGGTGTTTTTTGCAATATGTAATGCTAGTAGCAACATAGTTCAGATGGCCATAGTTGTTTGTTGGTTGCTGATTGGTCTGCTGCTCTAACATTAGAGATAAGACTAAGTGGCTCACATCATTTTTATCCTTTCAAACAAAAAGAAACAAAATAAAGGCGCTGCGTTTCAGAAAAGACGGATGACAACTTTAAACTTTTCATAGAGATTTTGTTTCCATTTTATCAGAAAAGTTAAATTATGCTCCTTTACTTAGGGCATGCTTGATTCTGGAATCTTGGAAGGGAAAATTGTTTTTTGCTTTATGCTTCCAAAATTATCTCTATTTCTTAATCTTTAGATTAGAAAATAAGTACTTCATATATATTTAGTTAAATCATGTATTTCTATATACTTCCTTCGTTCTTTTTTATATGCAACATTCCAATTTTCACGATTGCAAACGCACAAGTTTGATCATTAATATATTTCATTCGTTATTAGTTAAAAAATTAAAAATTTCAGTTTTTGAAAATTTAAAATGAGAGAAATTAACTATATTTTTAAAAAAATTACTCCTCTTAGGTTTATAGTAGAGCATGTGAATTTTGAATAGTGTAAAATTTACCAATGTTGCAACTAAAAAAGAACGGAGGTAGTATTTCTCATCTTAGGTTTCTTTCAAACCATATATATTTGTAAAGAGTAAATAAAATAAATAAACTTCACCCCTCCCGTTTTCTTCCTTCGCAACAAAACAAGGGTTTACTACCATAGTTGTTTACAATCAAAGTATGCTTTTATGGAGTTTTTGCAGTCACTTGGTAGGTTTCTTTCTCTTCCTCTCATTGACCATATATACCGCAATGAAGATTCCAGAGGTTGTAGACCTTCCCACACTGCAGAACCTTCCTGATGTTCTTAGAAAGGTTGATCTGCAAACCTGTCTACAATCCTTGCCCCACATGCCTGATTTGCACCGGCTCCGGGAAGAATTGAAGGCAGCATTTCCATCGCCTCCTAATTGGCATATTGTACAACTTCTCACCAACTGCCTGCCTGAGCGTTTTTCTCATATCAACCATTCCAATGTTGGTGTTCTGGTAACCCTCCTCACTCATTTCTCAAGCTCAGCTAACTATTTTATCAAAACTTTACATATGCATTTTGATATGATAAGGTTTACCCTTTTCTGTAAAGCCACATAGTAATTATGTTAAAGTCTTCTCCCTCCACTTAGGGTTGCACTATTCAAGCATTTTATAATTCTAGATGCTGTTATTTTGTTCAGTAAGCAGCTTTGCCAGATGATTAAATTGCTCTGTAGAAGAGTTCTAAATGGTCGAATATTTTGAGCCTGAAAGTCTTTTTGGCTGTTTTTTGTCCATACAAAAAATATTACATATCTTTTAGGTAATTACATGATAGATCTCTCCAGAAAATACAGCAATTACAGGAATTACTATCAAGAAACAACTAAAAATTCTTATTAAAGAAGATGAACAGTAATAGTAACAAATGGCCGAAGCCCCCAGATGAGCCGAAGCCCCCCAAAAGAAAGAGATAGAGCTCTAACTTCCCAGTCTAAGACAAAGTCTAAACAGCCTGTCCACTAACTCCCCTTTTCCATATATTTATTCTATTCAGAATACAAACAGAAAAGACACCTCAACAACTAACTAATTGTTATGCTACTTTCTCCTACTATAGACCTTCCCGTAATGCTTATTATCATTATTAATACTAGCAGCTTCACTCGGTGTCTATCAATACTCCCTCCCTTTCATAAATTTTGTCTGGTCAAAACGGCCAATAATTTTGGGACAGAGAGTTCTTGGTTTTGAATAGTAATTTTTTCCCTGTTTATTTCTTCATTACCCGTCCCTTTACGCTTTTCTTATTGATTCACTGTGTAAATAAATGAAATATAAATAACTTTGTCATTTCTCTAATTACTAGAAAGAAAGGGGCACAATTGAATCCAGAATGATTTCATCTCTATTGTGGCTGATATTTCTTGTATCTATGAATAACTTGATTGAATGCAGAGTGGTGTAAAGGAAGAACTGGCAAACATGATTGCCCCATTTACAGTCACACCGATCACGAGATGGCCATTCTTTGCCTTCTTGGGTGGGGCCATGTTTTGCTTGCTAGCGAGCAGCACATGCCACTTGTTGTCTTGCCATTCAGAACGCATGTCTTACCTCATGCTACGCCTCGACTATGCTGGAATAGCTGCACTGATATCCACCTCCTTCTACCCTCCAGTCTACTACTCCTTTATGTGCTACCCCTTCTTCTGCAACCTCTACCTCTCCTTGATCACCCTATTGGGGATAGGGACTATCCTGGCTTCCCTCCTCCCTGTTTTTCAAAACCCGGAATACCGTTCCTTCCGTGCTGCCATGTTTTTCACCATGGGTGTTTCCGGCGCGGGCCCCATCTTACACAAGCTCATTTTATACTGGGATCAGCCTGAAGCCCTCCATACAACTATGTATGAGGTTCTGATGGGTGCCTTTTATGGGATCGGTGCCCTTGTGTATGCGCTGCGCGTTCCGGAACGTTGGATGCCAGGAAAGTTCGACATCGCTGGACACAGTCACCAGTTGTTTCATGTGCTGGTGGTGGCGGGGGCTTATACACATTACCATGCCGGATTGGTTTACCTCAGGTGGCGGGACCTGCAAGGGTGTTGAGGTTTTAGCGGGGGTGTGGGGAACAGATGACTGTCATTGAATGCTTGATGAAAAACTCTGGATATTTCATTCCCATTGAATGATTCCGAGTTAGATTGTCGAATGATGATGATGGATGCCTAAGTAAATAAAAGTGGCTCTATTGATACGTTGTAATTTGTAGACTACTCCGTAACATATTACTCGGTACAAGTTTTCATTACATCGTGTAAATAGGAAAATAGAAAGTGCAAGTGTTTCAAGTTGATTTATTTTGCAAAATTTTGTGATACTTTATTTGGATGGTGGTCTCATACTCTCTTGCAATCACGTAGATCTACTGATATAAAGGTGGCGATGTGGCATTGTGGCATACTTAGGCTACCTGCAACCCAGGGGTGAATAAGCTAATTTTGAGCTTTTCACCCCAAATTTCACTGCAAGCCATGTATTTGGGGTGCCAAAGTGGGTGTAAGGCACCCCTAGGGTGGGAGTTGGTAGACGTATTCACCCGGCCTAGGCATGGACTCAGGCTGGGTCGGGCCTAGGCCCGGTTGGGCCGTCGGTTTTTAAGTGATGGGCCCAGGATCGGCCCGAGGTCTGGACGGTTCCGGTTCGGGCCAGGCACCCGCCCGGGTCACGGGTCGGGCCACCTGCCGGGCCGGGTCGGTTAAATCCAAATTTTTTTTTATGATTTATACTTTATAGTTTTATACAAGTATTAAAAACAAACTTCATGTGCATTTATTGAAATGAAATAGGAACTACATTTGACAATTAAGAAAAAAATACAATATGAAATACATTTTGTAAATTGTAATCAATCGGAACTTCTCGCACCTCCCGGTCCTTTGGCTTTGTCACATGACTTAATATGCTTCATTGTCATCCCATGTTCGCGTGAAACTCCCATGCTACACTTTTTCTCGCACCATTTGCATGTTGCGTACAACATCCCGGTCCTTAGGTCCTTCTGCTTATCAAAATTATACCGTATAACGGCATATTGACTTTCCATCTTAAAAATGGTAGATATAATAATTCTACAAATACTACAATAGATGGAGATGAAGATGGAGAATGGAGATTAGAGATTGGATGTTGGAGAAGATGTGTATAATAATGTCAGAAAATAAGAATATTTATAGAATTTTTTGTACACCCACCCCCACCCCAGGACACCCTTGATTCAAGCACCCAAGGGTTATATAGCCGTTTGGGGGAATTGGGGCCTTGAGGAGCTTTTGATTTCAAATTTTATTTGTTTATTTTACTTTGAATTTTTAAATAAATTACATAATGTAAAATTAATTAATTTGAGAAGTGCTACATATAAAAAAAAGAACGTATATTTATTTGAAATATGAACTACAAGTTTACAAGTTACAATTGAGAATTGAAGGTAAAATTAAAACATGAAATACTAATCAATCGGAATCTCCGACATAGGTAGAGCCACCCTCGGTTGTAGTTTCATCCATAAAATGTTGGGATGGGGTGATGTCAATTTCTTGAGCTCTCCGGAATTACTTCCTCCACATCGTCGTCCGCGAGCTCTTCTTCGTCAATGGTCCTCAGGGGTTGGTCTTGGAAAAAGTGGCTATTATGTCGGTGCAATTCTTGTTGTAGTTGTTCGTCGGTCATCGCATCCCCATCCCTCCTTGTGTAACCCGTATCAAAATCATCTCGGCTTTGAGATGAAGAGCCGATATGTGATTTACCTTTGCGGGATCTCTTCCTCGCAAGCTCGTTCCTTCGGTTGCGGTCGAGGTTACCCATATCAACCGAAAATCTACCACCTTCCATCTTAATATAATATACTACGTATGTATTTATAAGTAGATAATTAATATATAAGTAGATAAGAAATATAAGTAATATAAATATATGTATTTATAAGTAGATAAATAATATAAGTAGATATATAATATATTGGAGAATAAGAGAATTTGAGAAGATGAATATGAAGATAATAATTAGAGAGTAGAGTGTAGGATTTAGGAAGAGATATGAAAAAATGTTTAAGATTAGGAGTATTTATAGTTTTTTTTACCTCACCCCCATCCCCCATCCCCCAAACTGCCTGGACCCCCCCTGCCAGGCCACCCAACGGCTATATAGTCGTTTGGGTAGTCCCTAGACCACTCCCAGTGGCTCTTTGTGGCCCAAAAGATTTTTTTTTTTAAATTTGACCCGGACCTGGGCTCGACCCAACCGGGTCGGGTCATCTTTTACCAGAACCGAGCCTGCCCCGCCCATCCCCCGATTCGGGTCTACACCCGATCCCGAATCGCCAGACCGGGCCGGTCCCGGCCCGCACAGTAGCGGGTCGGGCCGGGTCACGGGCCAGGTGGCCTGAACCGAATCCACCCCTAACCCGGCCTCTGCTCTGCACGCTGCAACAAAGGAAGGAAACAATGAGCTAGTTGGCCGCATAAGGAGTAAGTAGTGGCCCCATGTAAAGTTTTAACATTTCAGTTTTTATTTATACTTTAGATCCCGTTTGGTAATAAACAAATCAAATTGGCTGATTCTGGTGAGATTTATGAAGTTATGGCTTATGTGACTGTATTAGTTGATTCTACTGATTTGTGAAAAATAATAATTTATAATACATTTTAGTAATACAATAAAGAAAAAATTGTATGAAAAATAGTTAAAATAACCTTCTACAGTAATTTCAGCCAATACAGTCAGAAAAGTAACTTCAACCTTACTTTTTCTTATTATTACACAATTCAGCCCGCAAAATCAAAAGTTACGTGTTTTGTGAAAAAGTTGGTTTCCAAGCCTGAAAAGCCAAAAATCATGGCTACCAAATGAGCACTTAATTTTTATAAAAAATACGTAGTGTGTAACAATTTATAATATATCATATATAAAGTAAATAAAAAATAGTTCAACTGCTTGAGTTTCAGCACTTAATTTCATATGACATCAATATATCATATATAAAGTAAATAAAAAATATGAAGTTTCAACTGCTTGAGTTTTTTCAAATAGTTTGAGATTCTAAAGAAATAAAATTTCATGATTAAAATATATTTTTTGCATCTTTCAGTTATTTTTTTCTAAAATAGGTTTGAAGTAAGTTTTTTTAAACGAGTATGAAGTCAGATTTAAAAAAATAAACCCCAAATTAATGTATTTTTACATTGGAATGTTTGATTTTTAAATAATAATTATTCGCAAAAAATTAAATTCAAAAAAATTGATGTATAATGATAAAAGTAAGATTTTAATATAAAACAAACTTTGCTAGATGAATATATTGATGGTGCTGGATTGAGTAAAAATTGAATTTATTGAATGAATACATATAAATTGATGGAAAAATTGATTTATTTATGGAGATTGATTGCGATTAGCTTTGATGCATAAAATTTAATTTAGAGGGTACAAAATACAAATGGTACATTATACATCTTCATCAGATACACGCATAACCGAGTAATGTATATAGAAATTCCCTAAATGAGACTAAAGGAATAGAAAAATGCAAAACTAGGACTATCATGTTTTTTTGGACTATTTTAGGACTAAATTGTAGTAGCTTGACAAAATTACCCTTAATATTAAAACTTCAGTCCGCAGTCCACATCGCAGCAAACCATTCTCCTATGAACTGCAGATCCGCCACGGACTATGGCCTCGCAACGCACCTCCTCCGTCAACCGCAGGTAATCTCCTCCTCCTCCTCCTCCTCCTCCTTCTTCTTTCTTCTTTCTTCTTTCTCCTTTCTCCTTTCTCCTTTCTTCTTTCTTCTTCTTCTTCTTCCCCTGGTGCACTTCTCTCCCCTCCTGCACTCTGTTTTCTGTTTTTTTCTATTCATCTACTACCTTTTAAAGTTCTATTTATTGATTGGGATTTTTTTGGATTTGAATTTTATTTATTCTGAAAAATGTCACTTTTATAATATGAGAATGTCAAAGTTATTGGTTATTTGAAAAAACTGCCACATTTGTGGCAGTATATATATCAAAATGACAATATGAAAATGTCATGTCCATAAGAAAATGTCATTGTTATGGCATTTTATGGCATTTTTATGACTTATCTGAGAATGACATAACTGAGAATGTCAGTTTTTATACGAAACTTCCATCATCATGTTATTAATCTTGACATTCTCATTGGAGGTCTGCAAGTATGAAACTTTGGATTTTGATATTTTTAAGATTTCAAATTAATAAATAAAATTCAAATCCAAGAAGAAGAAGAAAGAAGAAGAAGAAAAGAAAAAGGAGATGAAGAAGAAGAAAAGGAAGAAGGGAAGAAGATTACGTACCTGACTTGGCTGAAGAAGAAGAAGGGAAGAAGAGGGTTGCGTTTTATAGCGGGCGGCGTGGTTGCGTTCAATCGCAGACGAAAGGCTGCAATTCCATGGCCAGGTGAGAAATTGCAGATTAACGGGAGAAGAGTCGATCGATTGGGTTTAATACATCAAGGGCAAAATTGTAATCTGTAGTCCTATTTAGGGAATAATAAACTTAATGTCCTATTTAGGAATTTTGACAATGTTTTGATCCTATTTAGGGAAATTCTTTCATGTATATATGGAAAGAGAGCTTGTGAATATTTTCAAATGATTTTACTCAATACTCCATATGTCCCTTAAACCTTTGTCAATTTTTTTGAGAAAGGGGCTCTTGAGTCTTGAAATAGTTTTTGAAATAATCTTCATCATTTTTTAATGTCCCACTAACTTTGTCACTTTCCTTTTTAAGTAAAAATTTTGTGGTTTGAGTTAAATTTGTCTCCTCTGCACAATTCTCAACTACACAGTTTTTACTTTATAAATCTCTGTGGCGGTCAAACTTGGGCAAGTTTTAAGGGGCGGAGAGTATATGAGTTTCATCGGAATATGAAAAGAGTACAAATAAAAAAATTCTTAAGGAGGTCATATCAGAGTAAACAATCGTTTGTTATTTGCCTCATTATTTTTCACTATAAATACTACTACGTACAAGATTTAGCTCGTTTGGTAATATCGAAATCTGATATATTGGTTGATTCTGCTGAAATTTATGAAGTTGTGACCGAAGTAGCTGGATCGACTAGTCCTGCAGATTTATGAAAAAATTATATTTAAAATATATTTTATTGATAAAATAAATCAATAATGCACTAGATTTGATCAAAAAGCGCGATCACAATTTCATAAATACACCATAATTTTTACGACTGCGAAAAAATGCAATAGAAATATGTAATAGTGGATTTCAATAACAAAAAGTGTAACCGTTCGCACTTTGCATGAGAATGTTTCTTTTGAATTTTAATTTTTTTGAAAACCTCTTCATAGCATTTAACCTTTTCCAAACGGGCTTCAAGAACTTTAATGTAACAAATAATTTATAAAATATTTATAATTATACTTTTGCAAACACACACTCCCTCTGTCACTTAAAACTTTGTCATGTTTGACCGGCATTGAGATTAACAAAGTAAAAATTGTGTGGTAGAGATTTGTGCAGAGAAGAGAGAATTAACTGGAATCACAAATTCTTTACTTAAAAAAGAAAGTGACAAAGTTAGTGAGACATCTAAAAAACAAAAGTTGGCAAAGTTTTAAGAGACGGAAGGAGTAATATATATTGATTTCCTTTCGTTTACAACTAAAGTTAGTTCTAATTACATAATTCGCGTGCCCTTATCTGATTCATTTTTTTATTGATATAACTTTAATAAACTAAAAATTGTCGCATTATCAATCGCGGAGTCACTTTTAATAAAAAAGTGTTCACATGAACACTTAAAATTTTGAGAAACAAGCAACTACACATGTATAAATTTTGTGAAATTATTTAGTGTTCTTTCAAGTTTTAATTGTTTAAAAAATGAATGTCCAAAATGTATATCATAAACCGCTACTTCCTGGGCGTCACTGCACCAAATGTAAGTTAAGTAAAACCTGCAAGTTCCATTTGTATAATCTTGTGTTTCCTTTTTGTTTTTAAACGCACCTGTGCACGTGTATTTCTGTGGTGATTCAATTATACAAGTATAATGCTCAATTGCACATCATGTTGTTTGGCAAATAATTGCAACTAAAGGCTATAAAGTATAAGGTCAATAAGGATATGGCATTTGATTTAGAGCCCGTTAGGTGACCCTTTTTTCGGCTTATGAGGCTTATCAGCCAGCTCTTTCATCAAACACATAATTTTTGATTTCGCGCGCTGAATTTTGTAATAAGCAGAAAAGGTAAGGTTGGGGTTACTTTTCTGACTGTATTGGCTGAAGTTACTGTAGATGATCATTTTAGCTATTTTTTCATATAATTTTTTATTTAATTTATTAATAACATATATTTTAAATGTAATTTTTTTATGAATCAGCAGAATCAGCCAATAAAGTCACTTCAACCAGAATTTCATAAATTTCAGCAGAATCAACTAATTCAACCAATTTTAGTGTCACGAAACGCGCTCTTAGTCCTTTGATGTTTGACCAAATGTGAAACATGCATCAATCCATGCTGATTACTCCGTATGTTTTACAGAGTAGCTTTTAACTATTTTGTCAAGCTATCTTCATGTAAGTTTGATTCTTGCACCTTTAATGATTTCCCATAATAACACTTATTTCTTCGCAGGTCAAGACACGTCATTGACCACTGTTTAAGGTTAGACAGTTTTTCTCTCGGCTGGAGAATCATAAATATTTGTGATGAAACCTTCTTAGTGTAAATGAGCTCTTAATTCTTTGTGTACGCTTAGTGTACACAAAACCTTTCTAGTCGATAGGTGCGCTCTTAATTCCTTTGCATTCCTGTTGCTAGACTTGTGGAGTTTTGTGTTTTATGTTCGCAAAAAAAATGTGTCAAGCTGTATTTCTCGGAAATTAGGAATCCACTCATAAATCATAATCAACTAATGTTCTGCTTATTAACAGAATAATTAAGTATCTCTTCGTAACTTGTAAGTTATTCGATTGTAGTAGTGATTATTTAAAAGGAAAAGCGTGTGAAATTTATTATAACCAAAAAAAATCTAGTTGAATTTGGTCAATTATTTTGACCAAAAAAATAATCTGGTTGAATTTGGTCTTAATATTGCAAGGGATTTTTGTATGGCGTAGAGTTTTGGACGGAGAAACAATGTCGCATTCAAAAGATGAGTGCGACAGAGATGAGTATGTTGTGTTGGATGTGTGGATATATCGGAAAAGACAACTTGAGGAATGAGATAATCAAACAAAAGATAGGAGTAGCACCTATAAAAAATAAGATGCAAGAGTCTGAAATGCAATGGTATGGTCATGTGCGCAGAAGACTGAGTGATGCACGTGTTAGAATGTTCGATGAGTTGAGAGGTGGGGAGAAGAGGCGGGGAGGAGAAAGAGGAAGACTCAAACTGATTTGGATTAGAGAAATTATAACTGATATGGTTCTTATTGAATTAGATGAGAATATAACTTTGAAGAGAGCAAGGTAAAGGGTACATATTCATGTGAACTCTTTTCTCTCTTTTATCTTTGATTTTATTTAAATCTTTTTATGTTCTTATGTTATTTTTATCTTTTATCCTTCTTATGTTATTTTTATCTTATATTTATTTTTATCTTATTAATTTTATCCTACCTTATTTTTTCTTGTCTTTCTTTTCTTTTGGCACTGATATCATAGATCAATTAATGTTAGTCGAGCAAAAAAAAATCAGGAATAAGGCTTAGATGTTGTTGTTTTGTTTTATCGCAAGGGATTTATGTCAAGATGTATGGCACTAACTCATTTGATGAGTATGAGACTCATATCACTGTCTTAGCTTTTTTGGCTAGAATGTGTTGTCAATTCCTTTTTTCACTATCAGAAAATTAAACAGATCTCATCATTTGAGCCACAACAATCCTCACGAAACAGCCCGTTAGTTTTCCTCAACATTGCATGTTACATAAAATGGTCGTTCTGAAAAATATGAGGTAGAAGGTGGATGTAAAACTGTAAGAGACTATTTTTACAACAGTACTGATATGTGAAATGCAACTCAAAGCCAATGGTGCCACCTTCGCTGCCGATTAGTAGTAGCCTCTTTGGGTGTCAAAGTGATCCGGTCTGCATGAGAAACAGCCCATTTGCCGAAATCGGGAGAACTGACTAGCTCTTCCAAAGCCCTCTTTGTAGTCTGTTGTGTGAGTCTTTCCCACTCATCCTTGGAGACTTTCCTCTGTTCAGGCGTTTTGTGGAATGAAGAATAGAAAGTCTCTGATTCTGACAAAGGCTTTGGTGACTTGCTGTTTGAACTACCTGTTTAAATCCTAACATTAGGCCACAAAACATTTTCCTTATTATAAAGGTTTGAATTCTAGCAGTATTCGTTTAGACTTTAGATGCTGAAAATGTCGACTTCTTCTCCAATGGGCTTGTAGAATGTCAAAGTCTAAGAAGGTTAGATCTTATATGACATTTGCATTATTATATTTCTCTGGCATGACTTGAGAATCGAGACATATATCCTATGATTAGATAGGACAATATCCAAGCTTTAGTCTCTCCTATAAGAGTTTGGGGTCAGCTAACAATGATTAAAATAAAATACCCCAGTGCCGCAAAGGCTCTCACTAACAATGGGGCAAGGGGGTCGGATGTACGCAGTCTTACCCCTGTATTAAAAAGTACATACAGGTTATTTTCGAATGAGGCATAGTGAAAATCACGTCAAAAATTACATGGACTGACTAGAAGCGCAGAGAATTTACTGAGCCATTTTGCTTTATTATATCATATTCTCAAACCAAAAAAATAGTGAGTTTTTGACTCCATTGCAAATGATGGGAAGGTAGAAGATAAAGATAAGATAAGAAAAATAAAATGATAAAGAAAATAAAAAGAAAAAAGATAAAATGAGATCAATCCTCCACATGTATACTTTCTTTCCAATTCGCTCTCTCCAAAGTGATGCTCTCATCCAACCCAAAAAATATCTCTCCTACGATTAGGTAAAAGATAAAGGGGGTGTTTGGAACTAATTCTGATTCTGCTTTTTTTTTTAGCAGAAGCAGAATCAGAATCAGTTTTCAGAAGCTGGTCACCCCCAGCTTCTAAAAAAACTGATTCTAGGAGTAAATTAAAGCACCAGAATCACTTCTGCAATTTCACACAAACACCCCAACTTCTGCTTCTTCTCCCTGAAGGAGCAGAAGAAGTTTTAAGAATCAGATCCAAACACCCCAAAAATGGAGAAAAAAAAGAAGAATGTCAGTCCAGATAATCATTCAAGCTCCAAAACATGCTTATCATAAACACAAAATTGTCCACAATAATAATCTTTTGCAAAGTTAATAATACCTGATTTAATCTCTCCGCTCTATACTATATTCAACGGTCCTCAACTTTCTTTTGGATTCCAATTGATTATTGACAATGCAACTTGAAGTGAATTTAGTACTCACAATGTAACTCATTTTAGTCGTAAAGCATATTTTACTCTAATTATGGGCCTAAATGTAGTGAATCTGACTTCAATACCAAAGCCAGATCAAATTGAGCAAAGTGTAACTTTAGTGGAGTAAACCTTTAATAATAACTAATGTCTCTGCTATTTCCGTTTTCAACCTAACCACTATTGATAGACAGGGTAAACAGAGATTTCTGTTCACTGAGTTCAAATTAACTGAAATATAAAATTAGGTAAATATTAATACTTAAATGATGAATGTACAATTAATACTATTGTATTATTGTATCAAATAATTGTGACCTTTTATTATATGTTTATGATAGGAACCTGTATATTTTAGGTCTCTCAGTTTATAGGATGTTTACATATATTGTATTACTACTTTAATGGTAATAATGTCCTTTTACGAAAATTTAATGTTGAATTTAAGAATTAAACTCTTTATACATAAACTCTAAATTTTTATGCTTATTTTCTACATATAAAAATAAAATTTACTCATAGTATATTTTTACCAACATTGATACCGAAATCCATATATCTATTGATCTTTCCGTAAAAGTGGAGTGTCAATAAATATCTACTGATATGTGCAGGCTGATCATATAGAGTAAATCATATACTCTAGTAATACTCACAGTGCAGCCATACTAGTAGAAGTTCTTCTACGGCTCTTTGCTCTCAGCAAGAGATGACAGTGCGCCAGCAAATCATGGATGACGCAAGGGAAAATAACTGATCCGTGGTAAGTGATTTCTTTTTCTAACACACCATACACCATCATCTAGATATTTCGTGTCCCTTGTCCATATGTAGGTTTTGAAGTTAGAACTTTGAACAACTTGTTTTTGTATAGAGATTCCTGATAGTTTAGTATGTTTCATACTTTTAGTGATTCAAACGATCAAGAATACTCCCTTAAAGTATTGAATTTTCTTACATCCGAAGTGTTTGACAAAATTTATAAAATAAATCAAAGATTTGGTTTTGTTGTTAACTAACTTAATCTTAAATCTTAGATTCTCTCAAGTGTTGAACCTTATTGTTTTTCACTGATTAGAGAAATCTCTGGATTCAAATGGCAGATTATTTCTGGCACTTTGGACTTCCGAGACATATTTTGGGTGTAGTGTATCTATTTGAAACTTTTAAAATCCTAATGATATGGTGCCATGAATTTGAAACTTCTAAATCTAAGTATTGTTGTTTTGCTGGGTTAGTATTATGTGTGTTGAGTGTCCATAACAGGTGGGGGGATATCCTTTAAAGGGATTATATTTCTTAGAAAAGAGGGTAAATCATGGCAAATTTGTTTTCTGAATTTTCTCAACCCTGAGTAAACCGAAAACTGGCTTACTAAACACGAGAAAACCCCCTAGGAGCTACAGACACCGAAGGTAATCTTATTCTTGAACTAGCTAAAATGATAGTGTTGTTGCAAAGAAATGCAAACACAGTTTGGAAAGTATCAATACCTCGATGCCTGTCGGGGGTCTTGGGAGGATAGGACTCCACGTATAGTTGAGGATACAGATCCACAAATATTTCACAAATGTTTGTGATCATTCTTGATGATTTCCTACACGTGTTTCAGAAGAAGTCCAGGAGCATAGTAAAAAACAAGAAAAGCACACAAAGGAGTATCACTTTTCCAAATAAAGCCCCAGCTTGTACATACGAGTGAAAAGATAACCTTGCACCAAGCAACTCACTTGTATATCTGGCGTATGACTTTAGGATGGAGAATTTTCCTCGATATCGATGAAACAAGAATCCCACATACCAATGCCTCAGCAGCCAATAAAATATCTGAAGTACTCTGAAGAACCATAAAGAAAAAATGGCTTTTAATTTAAGAACATAACTAAAAGCCTGGCAGGATAATATGGAGTGTGAAAACTAATAACTGAAGAACCTGAAGAATCATAGCAGAGGAAACAACACGTATTGACCAGGCAATAAAATGAGATACTCCTATATCAATTGATCCTTCATCATTGAGCACAAGTTTGCGAACAACCCAAAATCCCAACCAAGATCCAACAATTGCAAGGAAAAGGAGCAAAAAAATTGCAAGCTGTGAAAAAATATTGGCCATCAAGCAAACAACACTACATCATTGAATGGAAGAAATTCAACCAGACGTATAATACTTCTTACACCTTCTAGAATAACAATGATTTAGTGTGTATAACAACAAAAATAAGAAACTTACATACAGGGTTGTACATTTCTTCACCGATACCGATCTCTGAAAGTGCCAAGCGCAATAGTCCGGGCACATAGCGAAGTAAGAAAGAGCCCAAACCAATCTGAATAGAAATAGGTGCAACTTGCTATATTATTTGGAGGGGAAACATCATTTTGCACCGGAAAAAGCAACAAACCGGTTTTAAAATGAAAAAAGATACTCACAAAGGATGAGTATAAGAATATGGCTAATGAATTCTTTCTACCAGTTGGAAGAAGCTTCATCCCCTGCCATTACATTTGACAAGTTGTCAGTTTAGACAAGTTTAGCATCAGGTAGAAAAAACTATATCTCAGTACTGCATTGATATTTTTTTATTTATTTGCATCAATCAGAGTTCCGGTTCATAACTTCATACTTGGAAGGCTAGATGATTTGGAGGAAAATAAAAACAAATTGAAACTCGGTATGTTTTTTAGATATTTGTTTATACTTGTTTTATTATTCTTAAATTTATATCCGTGTGTAAAACTTTATAAAACACTATTCATCATTTTTTCCTTTTCCGCTGCATTTTTTGAGGTAAAAATAACCATAATAAAATAACATGGCATTTTCCCCTTCCCTAGCATTTCCCACATTCCAGCATACCCATAAGAAGAAAGATACAAACTCAGTTCTCATTGGATATTACTCCCTCCGTCCCTTATAACTTTGCCAACTTTCCTTTTTTGGTTGTCCCAAAAACTTTGCCACTTTCCCTTTTAATCAATCAATTTGTGGTTCATGTTATTTCTCTCTCCATAGCACAAATATCTACCACACAGTTTTTACTTTATTATTCTACGTGCCGGTCAAACATGACAAACCTTTAAGGGACGGAGGGAGTAAGATAGATATACATGACCTTCAAAGTAAGAAAGAGAATTATATGATAAGAACAAGTTAAAATTAAAGAGGTACCTGGAATAGGACCATTAATATCACTAGGAAAATCCCAACAATCATAGCACCACTATAGTAGAACACAAGAGACTTGCTAAGAGATGATGCCACCACCATCAGAAGTACTCCCAGTACCAAAAACACAATCCGATACAGAACAAATTCTGTAATAAAGGCTTGAGATTATATAAAAAGATTTACAACCTGAGACCAAACAGGAATTAGTTTCATGATTAATGGAATAACCTTCATTTAGGGACATCTGAAGTGTTTGCTTAGAAGAGCCAGTTATCCTGAAATCCACAAGCATGTGACCAAAAGGTGACAATGATCTAATCAATGACCTCTTTGTTAGCTTAGCCCATTGTCCTTGAGGGCACATTCCTATACCAAGGGAATGGTTCCTGCAGTGTAATCACCAGCTCATTTGTTTTATCTCAACAATTTGCTCAGACACCAAAATAAATCATTTGACGTCAAATTTTATCTTTAGGGTCCTATGCCAGGGAAAGCAAAAAGAGATATAAGTTAAGTTCGGAAGGAAATAAATTTTGGGAGGCATAAAAAATTCTTCAAACCCATAGTTTTTATATTGGTTCAAACTCACTTCATTTGAGTGTTTCAATAATACAGATACTAAGAATTTAAACATATGTAATAAAAAATAAAACATTAATCATATTTCTTTTTCTTTTTCTGTGGTGGTAAACACAAAAAAATAAGTTTAAAAAAACGGTGCAGCCCGGAGCACATTGGCGTCCCCGCAAGCCGAGGGCCCGGGATGGGTCCCACCACAAGGGTGTATAAGGAACAAGTCTTCACTTGTCTTTTCTGACAAGAGGCCGCTACCAAGACTTGAACCAGAGATATTTCATTCACACAGTGACACCATAACTGGTACGCCAACTCGCCAAGGTTCCCCTTCACGCCACAAAATAAGTTTCCTTAGATTCTTTTTTTACTTTCCCTAGCATCGTCCAGGATCCACATATAGCTAGAAAAAATGCTTAAAAAGCAGAATGCTGATAATGCTCAAAGCATTTAGCTTATGCTTTTCTAGTTCGACTAACCATTATACCTTCTAAGTTCTAACTACAATCCCTTTATTTCAAACCCCCACCTTAGTACTGCTTATCACCGCCTACCCCATCTGACTAACAAAAAACAGAGTATCTCACTACTCCTAATATCACCCCAGGCACACATATGTGTATGAACAGGGAAAAACGAACGGAAAATAGTTCTCAACAGGCTCACCTATGGAAACAGACATCAATATTAGCTGGACGGCCACCTTGACTAACATATGAAATGTTGACTGTCCAAGAATTGGCATATTTGTCAAGGTTTTTAAACCTTGGCAGGCCACGAATTTCTACTCTTTCGCAGAGTACTTTAGTGCCAGGCTTAGCACCAGGAGAATTTTCCACGGGCAAAGCAGGAGAAAGCTGCAAATTGATGGACTGAGACACAGCTGCCATTAAGAAGAAATCATAGTTATTAATTTTATCAATACTGCGAAAGAGAAAAAGACTGTGACAGAGATCAAATGCCCATGTTTATTGACGTACTGTGCATTTTTTCACTAATACGTTCATTCTTCAATGAAGCAACTATAATCCAGGAAAAAACGGAAAAAGAACTCATAAAATAACAAAGCGCGGAAGGAGTTAACCCTAGAATACTAATTGTAATGCAATTCTTTACCTAAGGAAAGTTCATTGCCGGAGACAAGATGGGGTGAAGTTAAGAGGGACAATGAATAACTTGTAGCAAAAAACAGTAAAGACGGTGACGTTGCAGTGCCAGCGGCCATTGCTCCTGCACCCGGATCGTGAAAGAGGATTTTATCTGTTATGGAATCTTGACAAAGGTTCTCTTTGAATTCTCGTCACAAACATAGTAACCTAAAATTAATTATAGAAGAACACGCCTACAAGTGAGAGCGATCACATCCCACACAAATCATTCCCTGGAAAGTGCGAACCGGGAAGACAGGACTACAGGAGTGTGACCCTTAAAATAAGTTTGGATAGTTTTTTGGGAAGAAATGACTTAGAACTAGCCCTACAACCTATGATCTTTCCGAAAAAGCAATCAGATTCGTTGATCCTGAATTGTGTTTAACTGAGTGACATGCAAATTAGACTTCTTATCATCTATTCTAAATTCTAGAGTTTTTAGATAAAGAAAAAGTAACACAAACAGAACAACATGCGGTTCAAACCAAACACCAAAAATGAAAATAGCCAAAACGAAATAAAAATTATCTTTCAAATTCCAATCATCACGATGCAATGAATCCTCATGGGCTTTGGCGGGCCTAGAGGCTCCAACCCGCCCCTTCTCTGTTTTTTGACCCGTCAAGAGCCATTCCATCCACCTCTAGGTTCCCCTGCTCCTGCTCTTCCCATGTGCGCCTCCTTTTCTGATCTCCTTGTCCGCACCCCCTGCCCCTGCATCATCATTATTAGCCGCTGCCACCCACCCCTGAGCACCGTCCTTTGTGTGGCTCGAACTCTGCGCTTGCTTCTTTATATTTTTATTTACCGTCTTTGCTATGCCCCGTCCTGAGCTCCCCTCATTCACCAACCATTTGTTTCCCACCGAGGGGTGAGGCTTCCCCCCTCCCGCACGCAACCACGATCCAAAAGGTCTAGCGAGTGTCTTATCCCCTTTCTCATAAATTAGAGGACAAAATCTTTCGGCATGTCCTATAATTCTACAGACAAAACAGAAACTAGGTAGTTTTTCATACTTGAAATCCACCGAGTAAACCTCCCCTCTACTTTTCTTTATAGTGGTTCCTACCTTTAAGGGTTTCCCACATCCAAACACACTCTCACCCTCATATATGTCTCCCATTTATCATCAAATTGTTTATCATCCCATCTGATAAAATTTCCTAGACGGTTTCCAATTCTCATGGCTGTAAGTACTTAGGTTAGAGTAACCACAATGAACATTGTGCTACTGCACCCAAAACTCAATCTCAACTAGAGGAACCGTCAAAGAGATATCCTCGATATAATGGCCCTCAAAACCAACAAATTCTGATCAAACAGCCAAGGTCCATTCTTGAGTTCACGATTCATATCAACAATTTGATAAAATTTAAACATATACTCCCTCCGTCCCGCTAGAAGGTTCCCGTGAACGGTTTACGATGCTTGACTGACGATAAAGCAACTTAATTCCCGTTCACACTCTAATTAGTTTTAGTAAATAAAATTAATATATTCAGAAACTACATCAAAACCACTACAAAGGCTGATAAAAATGTAAATTTGATAAAAATTTGATTTATAAAGTAAACGATTAAAAATGACTTAAGTTGACCATGCAAATAGTGGACGGGAACCTTCTAATGGGACGGAGGTAGTACCTCTTTTCTTCAATATCTTGAATCAGAACTCTCTTACCCGGGCATCACAGAGCCGCCATGAGGTCTCTGAAAATTTGAAACTTCACCACCTTGTTCGTGAGTAAAGGGCCTACTACCATAAAGGAACGCATGCCACCGTCCACTGAATCGGAGCCCTCTTCCTCGTCATCATCCAGCACCAATTCATCCGTCGTCGATCCTAATCCCATGCCATCATACTGGCCAATCAATTTTCCCATCTGCCCGCAAACTTCCTTCGTCGAGCCTGCAACGCCGTCCTCCTACCGCGACTCGCCGACTTCCGATATGGAACCAACTGCTTCCATAGAACCACTGCACGCTGATCACCACGAACCGCCGCACTTGTTCGGTGGAAAAGTAAGCCGCCCTTAGATCGACGGAAACCCTAGAGAGGGAAAGACCGCTACCTTAACTGATATGTTTAATATTCTAACCTTAATACACTCATAATAAGTTTGGATAGTTGATAACTTGATATTGAACAAAATAAAAATGAATATAAGTCATAAGAACTTTATCAAATTTAGTATGATACAATCTTAATGGAACGAATTTAAAAGGAAAAATGAGATAACTTAGTGAGATGGGGAAATATTACTTTCTCCTAACTCTTTTTTATTTATAATCCAATTTTATAAAAATATATATCAAATTGAATAATGTTTTATAATCTTTCAAATGTCATCGATATTGTATGTGTGAGGAGAAAAGATTATATTCAACCTCATGGGAGGAGGGTGAACAAAATCAAACTCGAAGTCGATTTTATTGATCCCTTGAAAGAGAGTGACGTTCACTCATACATGTATGCCACGTGATTGATATGCCAAAATTTTTCATATTGTTATAACTTTTTCTTGTATGATCTGGTTATTATAAAAAAAACAAATTAAATGATACCAAATGACACCAAATTATTGATATTGCATATTTAAAATTATTTTTTCAATTGTCTATTTTAGTTGGATTTTTAATTTTTTTAATTTTACATATGCAATATATATTGGTATCCTATGAAAGATGATAAGAGATTATAAAATTTGGTGTGTGTGTGTTGTAAAAATCGGAAAATAGATTAAAAATATCATAACAATTGCAAAAATATTGTCATGTCATGCCACTCACAAGGAAGGGAGGGATGAACGAAATCGTTTTCCTAGGAAACTCGCCTAAACAAACTTACCCTAAAATAGGCTTTTCTTCTCTTTTTAATAAATTAGATGGACTATCTCAGGATACCCCCTTATTACTAACTTCTCTGATGCAGGTCAACCTCATTTACCACAACAGGCAGACCTAGACGGATTTACTCCGGTGAAGACAAAGAAAAACAAAGGAAATTGTTCAATGCCACCAAACGAAACACCGGAACCCGAACAACTATTCTACGAGGTGGGATACGCTTCACACCCGATGATCACTAGAAGTCAGTCCAGACGCCCGCAAAAAGAAGATGACTATTACATTTACCCTGTTGATGCGAGGCTAGAGTCTCCGCACCAACTAGCTACGGCACTCGCGCGATACAGGTCATCTAAACCGGAAGCTAAAACCTACCAACCCTATCTTCGAAAGGCTATTCAGTTCCATAACAGATATAACAGATCCATTTCGGCTACAGTCGGGATACCTTCAAAAAACTTCAATTGTTAAACAGTCGTTTCTGCTTTAAGCTTTTGAGTGTATGCTTTTTCGTTTCTGTACTGTTTCTTAAACTTTTTTGTAATCTTCTTAATTTTAATAAATTCGGGCAGTGTTCCCCGGCAAAAAAAAATTAGATGGACACAATTGATAGTTATAAGTTTCCACCTTTTAACTTTTCCACTGTTTAAAAAGTTTCTAAAATCTTTTAGCTGTTTATTTTGCACAACTTTTAATAGCGGTTCTAAGTTTTTGTGAGAAGCTAATCTGATTATGAATACCTTCCAATAAAGGTTTGCATCTCTTAGCATTAATTAGTCGTAATACTTGTTATAATAGATAAAGCTATATTTATATCAAATAACTACAAAATTTTTCCTTTTGAGAACCTTGCAGTCTATCAAATATAAGGGTTCAAAAAGACATTTGTTCAGCTAGTTGTGACAACATACAATGTGAACTTATAAAAAAGCCAGTATATTTCCTGCTTGTGCTATTGAACTGATTAATTTCTACTTAATTATTGAAGTTAAACCAATGAGATTTCACCTGGAAAATTTTGAAGGAAATTAAGTAGGAAATGTGTGATGGAGTACAATGTCACATACCCCAAGTGTTGAAAGACAGGCGATTCATTCCGATCAATATCCCGAGTCATTAACAATCGGGCAAAGGCCAGCATTGTAGTTCAGATCCGACAATCCGTATGTGAGCCTATCTACCTTGATCAATTAGGCTATGTCAGTGAGACTCGGCATGATTATCTTTACTCCCATATTCTACATTGACGCTTGCAAACAAGACCGAGCGGACTCGATTCGCTTCGGCTCGATTATAATTTTTGTCCTTCGCTAATTCCGAGCATTCTAGTTTTTTGAGTTAATATAGCAAACTAAGAGCTCTATTGTTAGATGAACTTTGGCTTGTAGGTCCAAATGTGTATAAAATCACCAACAACGTACCAAATGGTCTCATTAGTCTGACTTTTATTATCATAAAAAGTGCCTCACTAACGTTTTCACTTACTTTTGGACATCTCATTTAAAGTTTTTTACTTCTATTAAAGGAAATAATAACAATCTTATCCCTAGCATCCGTTTAGGGCTTGTTTTTCAGCAGAAGGCTAGCGTCGTTTCTTGTCTTATGAATGATTTGGAGTGACAATGGGATGACGACCGTTACCACGTTCTGGTTCTCCATGGTCTGCTTCTCTATGGCTTATGCTTTTGGACGTGCTGATATGAATCGAATTTGGAGGTCTGTGATTGATACCTACAAATGAAGAATCGTTTGGTCACCTCCGCTCGCCTTGATCGTCTGAGGGGGGGGGGGGGGGGGGGGGGGGCAATTGGGACTGTGTTAGGCGAAGAGACAAATGAATGGGGTGAATGGATTGGGTCCTGTTTGGATGGATTTCACCGCAGGGTGGAGGCAATTGGGGGTTCTCGAGTGAGGCAATTTCTGGATCGAGTCCTGAGTAAGGGAGAAGACAGATCAGCGGTTCGCCCCCTCCTGAACTGTCACCCTGGAGCGGTCGAGGTGCTAGGGTTTGGAAGATGATATTTCAAAAAAAATGGCAGGAAGGAACTTGGATTATTTATCAGTTATTTTTTTATGGTTATTTTCGCGTTATGTTTGTTTATGTTGCTCTATTTTTTGTTGATGTCTTTAATTTTAAGTCTATAGTAGTGATTGCCAATTATGGTAGATATTATGTCGTTAGAAAGATCTATATAACCAATGATTGATGTGTCACACCCATTTGATGGTTGGTGACTCATTTTACTCTCTCAGTGGTGACGTTTCTAAGTCTAACCATAGTATTAATAGTGCTAGTTGGTTGCAGATAGTTGTTATCAGTGTTGGTCTCTTTGAGTTTGTTGTAACGATCTGATCCAAATGATATTAAATATAAGCGATTTTCCTTTAAAAAACAATCTTAAATGACAATGTAATGATGTAATCATCACGTATTAAATATAATACATTCAT